CCCTCGCCCTCGCCCTCGCCCTCGCCCTCGCCCTCGCCCTCGCCCTCGCGCCCTCGCCCTCTCTCCCTCTCCCGCGCTCGCCCTCGCCCTCACTCGCTGTCTCTACCACACACCACCAGTAGGTAGATCTAGCAGCCCCCAGTATATGTATGTATTTTGCTTTGATGTTGGTTGAAGGCAACGTGTTTGGTTCAACACCTAACAATCTCCCTGGTAGTACCATGAGATCGTTGACAGCCTGATCAGCCAGATAGACAAAAACTATCGCCTCCAACAGTACCACACACTGTCAGCACTGCAGTAAAGTGCTGGCCTGAATAGGGGGCAGGTTGAAGTGAGACAAGTGAGTCTTTGTGTTCAGGATAAATGCTGAGAGGGAAGTTTTCCTCTTGTGATTTGGGACGATCTAACGGATTTCTATTGATCCTCAAATAGTCTATTCCCTCAGCCAGTCCCTCAAGTGATATTATTTGCCTAGTTCTTTTTCCTGTGGAATTGTTGTTGATCATTTTGACCCACTGTGCCATTCCTTCATTGATTTTTCTTTTTGTTTCATTCCAGGTGCTCAACGTGGAACAAAATCTTTTGAAATCTCTCCCGAGCTCTCTTGCAACCTTGGCACAACTTCAAACATTAAATCTAAAAGGTAACACACTCTGTGTTGAGAGTGCATGCCTCTGGGTGGGCTAGTTGATTCAAAAGCTGTGATCTGTCTCCACTCCTGACTGCAGTACCTGAGGATGGAATCCAGTTATTGCATGGTAGTCGCTTGGGCCCATTAAGGTCTGTGTCTCTCTGATCCTCCCCTCCTGGTAGAAACAGCCATTAGCTTTGGAGTTGGAATTAATCGTGTGAAGCTCTATGTAAGGAGCAGCATTCGAGGGAGCCTGTATGTGGTGCATGCCGCCTTGTTGAGGAGGTTTGTGTGACCCTGTGATTAGAAAGTCTGTCTTCAGTTGCAAGGCTAGTTGGGTTGTGTGTGTGCAGCTTTGGTGCATGGTTCCCGTTAGTGGGAGCAAGCTCAACGAGGGGAAAGGCACCAAGAATGTTAATTGCTGGTTTAATGTTTTTGTCCATGGTCTGTCTCAGTTATATTTCTGGGTCAGCACTGGTTCCCAGCCACATACTCTTCCGTAGCGAGCGCAGTAAGTGGTGAGACTCCTGCCTGTCGCCATGAGCATATGCTGCACTTGTACATTTGCTGATATCACAACAGAGAAGTTCTGCTGAACTGAGCTGGTGAGGGTTCCTAAGCAAGCGCTGATCTTCTGTCGGCGACAGGTCAGCAGCCAGAGTCTTTAGGAATTATCGTGCGACTTCAGAATTGATAGCTCCAGCACCCCCACTTCCCGTCTTTCATTTTTAGCCTGTTGAAAACTGAGTTTTGTTGTCTTAGTCTGACTGGATTCGATCTCTGGGTGTTGAAGTCCCATACCATTTAGTCCATCTGATTCTGGCATTTTTAAATTGTCACAATGCAACTCTACTAGTAGATTATTTTGCAGTGCAGCAGTAATGGTTGTTGTATAGGGAAATGTAGCACTAAATATAGTACCCAGTAAATGTACGCACTCTGCTTTGATGTTGGTTGAGGGCAAAATATTTGATTGAAGACAAAGCAAGCTCCCTGGCAAGTACCGTATGATGTCTGACAGTGATCAGTCAGAGGCTAAAAACTGGCACCTCCAACAATACAACTCTTAATGTTCATGTTGTGTCTTTAACGTGGCACAATGTACAAGGTACCTCACAGCTAGGAGTCACGGCTGAGCAACAGTCAATAGAGGACTGGGGGGAGAGGTTGAAGAGACCATCTGCACGGGGTTTTGTAAGGTGAGGAGGATGAGAGGAGCCTTTTCACCCTCAGTCTTATGTCAGCTTTGAATCTCTGTCTTTGTCTTCAATGCCTCCCTACAATGTCAGGGAACCGGATCCGGAAAGTGCCGGAATCCCTGAGCGGACTGAGGAGCCTACGGACATTGGACATCAGTCAAAATCGGATTCAGATTCTCCCACAAGACCTGGCTCATATCAGGACACTCGAGGTACTCCCATGGTCTGCCCTTTATCCTTTGATCCATGCAGAAATTTCTCAATTTCTATAGAATACATAAAGACAGGGAAGTTTTACCAAGAAAAATGTAAGCATTGCAGCGATACCTGAGGTACAGCTGTGAAGCCTGCAGGCCAAGTGCATGAAATGAATGGTTTATTTATTGCCACTCATGCTGATTTACCAGCTTAACATTGAGCAAATGTAGTACTCCTTCCAAGTGGGTCTTTTACCACAATTACTTGCACAATGGGTCACTATTTAGTAATGATTTGTGTAGCTGTGGGTTAGAGTGGTGTGTGTAGTGATTATAGCCTGTGTAGAAGACTCTGGTTTAGGACGAGATTGTGCCTGTTTTAGAAAAGGACTCTGCATTGGTGTATAGCCCATGTGGGCTCTCTCACAGCCTGGCAACCACTTCAGTCTCCAACCAATTTTCACACAGCAGTGGGGAAGGTGTTGGTTAATACCAACGTTCGGGGGTCAAATCCTCCCCTGTTCCTCTTCAAAGTTCCCATGTCACTGCTTTGATGTCTGCTTGAGAGAGCAGTTGGTGCTTTTAATTTCTCATCTCAAAGGTGGTGTCTAACAGTACAGCACTCCCTCAGCATAGCAACCTTGATCTAGAGCTCAACTGGGACACTTTACCTGTTTTAATTTCCTCACTGGGCAGGTTAGCTCGTTGCTAGTTGGTGGGAAAGATTGAAGAGATTATCTTGCTAAGAACACTATGATTGTACATCTGAAAAAGACAGACTTGATGGAGCAAACTGACTTTTCTCCGTTCATCTTTTTCTGAACGTTTGGATGTTCACCTTTTAACTTGCAGTAAGTCATATAATGTCATGGAAGATAACACAAACAATCTCAAGTTGGGAGTGCCGAAGTAAATTGGACTTAAGGAAAGTGAGAGATTTTAGAATGAGGATGGTTATTACTATGAACAGTGTGAATGGATTCAGTTGGTACAGTTCAGTTTCTGCAGGGAAAGGTGATAAGGAAGAAGTTAGTTGGAGTTTAGGTAAGTACTTACCTCGTCTGTTCTGCAAGATCTGTTTTATTCATTCATGGGATGTGGGTGTGACTACCTGGCCAGCATTTATTGCCCATCCTTAGTTGCCCTTGAGAAGGTGGGGGTGAGCTGCCTTCTTGAACCACTGCAGTCCACCTGCTGTGGGTTGACCCACAATGCCCTTAGGGAAGGAATTCCAGGATTTTGACCCGGTGACAGTGAAGGAACGGTGGTGTATTTCCAAGTTGGAATGGTGAATGGCTTGGAGCAGAACTTGCAGGTGATGGTGTTCCCATGTATCTGCTGCCCTTGTCCTTTGAGATGGAAGTGGCCATGGGTTTGGAAGATGCTTTTTAAGGGTTTTTGGTAGATTTCTGCAGTGCATCTCATAGATCATGAACACTGCTACTGAGTGTCAGTGGTAGAGGGAGTGGATGTTTGTGGATGTGGTGCCAATTGAATGAGGGGCTTTATCCTGGGTGGTGTCAAGCTTCTTGTATGTTGTTGGAGCTGCACCCATCCAGGCAAATGGGGAGTATTGCATCACATTCCTGACTTGTGCCTTATAGATAGTGGACTGGATCTAGGGAATCAGGAGGTGAGTTATTAGCCGCAGTATTCCTAGCCTCTGACCTGCTCTTGTAGCCACTGTGTTTATGTGGCGAGTCCAGTTGAGTTCCTGGTAAATGGTAACTCCCAGGATGTTGATAGTGGGGGATTCAATGATGGTATCACCATTGAATGTCAAGGGAGGTGGTTAGATTATCTCTTATTGGAGATGGTCATAGCCTGGCATTTGTGTGACGCGAATACTACTTGCCACTTGTCAGCCCAAGCCCAAATGTTATCCAGATCTTGTTGCATTTGAACACACACTGCTTCAGCATCTGAGGAGTCGTGAATGGTACTGAAAATTGACCAGTCATTGGCGAACAATGGCGAAATCGTCGTTGATGAAGCAGCTGAAGATGGTTGGGCCTAGGACACTACCCTGAAAAATCCTTACTGAGATGTCTGACCTCCAGTAACCACAACCATTGTCCTATGTGCCTGGTATGACTCCAGTCAGAGGAGAGTTTGCCCCTAATACCCACTGATTCCAGTTTTTATGGGGCGCTTTGATGCCACACTCAGTCGAATGCAGCCTTAATGTCAAGGGCTGTTGCTCTCCCCTCATCTCTGGAATTAAGCTCTGTTGTCAATGTTTGAACCAAGGCAGTAATGAGGTCAGGAGCTGAGTGGCCCCGGCGGAACCCAAACTGGGCGTCGCTGAGCAGGTGCTGCTTGGTGGCATTGTTGATGACATTATCAGTAGACTGATGGGACAGTAATTGGCTGGATTGGAATTGTCCTGCTTTTTGTGTACAGGATAATTTTCTACAGGGCCCGCAGCCTTTTGCAGTATCCATGCCTCCAACTGTTTCTTAATATTGTGCAGAGTGAGTCGAATTGTCTGAAGACTGGTATCTGTTATGCGGGGGACCACTGGAGGAGTCAAAGATGCATCATCCATTTGGCACTTATGGCTGAAGTTGGCTGAAGTCTTTGCAGTATTATCTTTTGCTGGGCTCTTCCATCATTGAGTAAGGGGACATTTCTGGAATCTCTCCTCCAGTGAGTTGTTTAATTGTCCACCACCATTCATGACTGGATGTGGCAGGACTGCAGAGCTTAGATACGATCCGAAGGTTGTGGGATTACTTAGCTCAGTCTATCACTTGTTACTTATGCTGTTTAGCATGCAAGCAGTCTTATTTGGTAGTTTCACCAAGTTGTCGTCTCATTTTCAGGTATGCCTAGTGCTACTACTGACGTGCCCTCCTGCAATCTCCATTGAACCAGGGTTGGTCTCCTGGCTTGATGGTAATGGTTGAGTTGGGGATATGTCGTGCCATGAGGTTACAGATTGTTCTGCAGAACAATGGCGCACAGCATCTCTTGGACGCCCAGCCTTGAGTTGCGAAATCTGTTCAAAGTCTGTCCCATTTACCACGGTGATAGTACTGCACATCACCTTGGAGGGTCTCCACAAGGACCATGCGGTGGTCACCCTTATACTGTCATGGTCAGGTGCACCTGCAGCTGGCAGATTGGTAAGGATGAGGTCAAGTATATTTTTCCCTCCTGTTGGTTCCCTCACCACCTACCACAGACCCAGTCTAGCAGCTATGTCCTTTAGGACCCGACCAGCTCGATCAGTAGTACTGCTGCCGAGCCACGCTTGGTGGCGGACGTTGAAATTCCTCACCTGGAGTACATTCTGTGCCCTTGCCGTCCTTAGTGCTTCTTCCAAGTGCTGTTCAACATGGAGGATTACTGATTTCATCAGCCGAGGAAAGACGCTATGCAGTAATCAGCAGGAGGTTTCCTCCCTCATGTTTAAACTGAGGCTGCAAAACCTCATGGGAGAGTCAAGCACATTACAGAGGGTCTGAAGTCACATGTGGGCCAGACCTGGTAAGGAAATGAGTCCCAAAGTGTACAAACCAGTGTGAATATGCACTGTCAACATTATTCCAAACTATGTACAAGCCGTCTAACCACCTGAACGGCAGAGATGTCCAATAGACCCCAGGATTCAATCAAACTGTGTTTCAAAGATGGAGTAAGGCACAATTTCACCTGAAACTCATTCCCAGATACCGATTAACATCTTAACGCCGTGATTATATTTACTGAAAGATTTGGAGTCGGGTGTGCTATTGCTACAGTCTTGATTTTATGACCTGCCGAACTTGTTTTCTGAGCTTTCTATTTTCATTTTTTCTCTCTTTTGCTATGTCTCTGGGTCACTGCCTCCTGCTGGCCTTCCCCCATCTCTTGCCTCAATCCCTCCCTGCAACCTCTCTAACAGTCGTTCAGCCTGGATGCAGAAGCTATGACCTATCCTCCAGCCAGCGTGTGCAGCAATGGGACGGAAGCCATCAAACAATTTCTGTGCAAAGGTAAGGTCCGTGGGTTTGATTTTCGGGAGATTGTCAGTTTTGCCATATGTTCACAGGCCCGCCACATAAGAAGTTTCGATACTTTGGGTAAAGCTGAGCTAGACATGTACGCTCACTGATGGAAATGCACTTCACATCCAGTTCCCCAATTAGGAAATGAATGAGGCATCTCTGGGTGATTGGGTGGGATGGTTGCTGAAAGCAGCTGACAGGAAGAGAGTGAAAGTGAGTTGAGAATGACAAAGTCGTGCTCTCGTTATCTTCCTCACACTGGAGCCTCGCCATTACTGAGATAAAAGCTTAAATATAAACTGCTGTGATCATGGGCCCGTATTGTACTGTATCGTCATACTGCAACCACGGTCTTGCAAGTTCTTTTTAGTCACAAGTGTGTTTCCGTGTTTCTGTGAATCTTAAGTGTTAAACAGACCAGTAGTTATGAGGCTTCTTGTCATCAGTTTAAGTGTGGACAGTGGGTCTTTTGACGATTTGTATCCATCCTGTTAAAATAATGACATATCAATTTGATCCAGTCTGTCAGCAAGGTTAAAATGCAATCATGTCTGAACAGGTAAGTGAAGGACTTCTTGTCTCACTGGGTAAAAGCACCACCTGGTAAAGTCCTTGCTCAGATAGACCAGGTTCCATAGATACTTCTCCCATCTGCCACCCAGGCTAGATTTGGGCTATGTCCCTATGCTTTGAGGTAAAATTTTAAAGAAAAGTAGCGGTCCATAGTGACCTGGTCAATATTTATTCCTGAATCAATATCTCTTTAATAAAACAGTCGTGATAATCTGACCTTCATCACATTCCTGTTTGTGGGACTTTGCATTTCTCACATTGCAACAATGTTTGGCTGGGAAGGGCTGTGGAACATTGTGAGATTGTTAAAGGTGCTATATAAATGCAAATTCCTTTTTAAGATCACCCCTCCAGTCTTAACCACCCTCTGAGTTCTACAGGAACACTGAATGCTGAGGTGATAACAAAGCGGACTTGAACACCCTCCTGTCCTGGCCCCCTCATGTATCTGTCTTTAATGAGACGAAAATGGCTGTCTGGAGATATGAGTGAAAAGGAGCAGTTTTATAACATCCATAATGTGGAGCATCAGCCTGGGATTTTCTGTTTCCATTCCAGAGCTTGGAATCAAGTATATGCCTCCCTCTCAGTACCTGCTCCCGGTGCTGAAGAGTGACGGGAATATAACCGAGAGCAATGGAGTCGATGGCATGTTCCAACAACAGATGCAGGAGGCCGAGCAGTGGCAGGTGAGACATGCAGAGGTACAAGTTCCATCTGTGAGCTACAGGGATAATAAATTATCCAACTCCATCTACCATATGGGCGTAGCTGGAGAATTGGCTGGCTAACAGGAAACAACAAGTAAGTATAAATGGGCCTTTTATTCCGGTCAGCGAGATGCAATGTCTTAAAAAAAAACGAAAGAACTGCGGATGCTGTAATTCAGGAACAATAGCAGAAGTTGCTGGAAAAGCTCGGCAGTTCTGGCAGCATCTGTGAAGGAAAAGAAGTCAGAGTTAATGTTTCGAGTCTGGTGACCCCCCCTCTGTTCTGAGGAAGGGTCACCGGACCAAAACGTTAACTCTGATTTTTTTTCTTCACAGATGCTGCCAGAACTTCTGAGCTTTTCCAGCAACTTCTGCTATTGTTCCTGTGTTTGAGATGTAATGACTGGTGTGTCACAGATTGGTACTGGGACCTCAACTGTTTATAATTTATATCAATGACTTGGATGAAGGGATGGATGGTATGGTTACTAAATTTGCAAATGTTGCAAAGATAGGAAGGAAAATATGTTGTGAGGAGGAGGTAAAGATACTACGAAAATATGTAGGTAGGTTAAGTGAGTGGGCATTGATTTGGTCAGTGGGAATAGTGTGGGAAAATGTGAAATTGTCCCTTTTGGGAGGAAGGATAAAAATGAATATTATCTAAGTGGTAATAGATTGCAGAGCTCTGAGTTGTAGACAGATTTGGGTGTGCTAATGCGGTCATCACTAAAGATTAGCATGCATGTACAGGACGTAATTGGGAAAGGTATGATAATGTTTATTGTGAGAGGAATTAAGAATGAAATATGGAGATTTTGCTTCAGTTATACAGGGCACAGGTAAGATCACATTTGGAGTACTGTGCACAGTATTGGCCAACTTACTTAAAGAAAAATGAAAATGCGTTGAACGTAGTTGACAGGATTAAGACTGGAATTGGTGTGTTTTCTTACAAGGAAATGTTGTCAACACCAGGCTTGCGCCTGCTCGAGTTCAGAAGGAAAAGAAGAAACTTGATTGAAGCACACAAGATCCACAGGGACCTTGGAAAATATGCTTCCTGTAGTGGGAGAACCTGGAACATAGGAGTCACTGCTTAAAAATCAGAAGTTGCCCATTAGGCAAGCTTTTCTCTCAAAGGGTCGAATCTCTTTGGAATTCTCCCAGTCAAAAGGTGGTGGGAGCAGCATATTTGAATGTTTTTAAGGCAGAGGTTGTCAGATCCTTGATAAGGAAGGGGATGAAAAGTTATCGGGAGTTGGCAGGAAAGTGAAGTAATTAGATCAGCCATGGCCTTGGTGAATGGTGCAGCATGCTGAAGGTACTGAGTGGCCTAGCCCTCCTGATTGATATGTTAACAAACTTCTTTTCGAAATTTACTGTTGCAAATCCTTCCATTGCCCTTTTATGTCGTTCATTCAAGGACCGTAACTTGAATTAAAAATATTCGGCACATTATGCTGCTGGATTTTTTTTTGCCAATTATCTAACACTTGTGCCTTCTAACTACTGACCCTTATCATGGGAAACTGTTTTATTTTCATTTATTTACTTTGAAAATCTTTCATAATTTTGAATATCTCTGCATAACCTTCATACAAACAAGGAAAGTTAAAATTTGGATAATGGGATGCTTACAATATAAAGATACTCAACTTTTCTGTATTCTTCAGAGTTTTGGTTTGGTCTTTTAATTGAAGTGCGTCTCTTCCCCACATCACTCAAATAAATCAATTGTAAAACTGTCCTCAGTCCCCACCGATTGATTAAGTGATGAAAATAACTGCTCCTATGATGCTGCTTGGCCTGCTGTGTTCATCCAGCCCTGCACCTTGTTGTTTCGGATTCTCCAGCATCTGCAGTTCCTACTATCTCTGATTCAAAAATAACAACTTTCTTTGATCAGGTCCGCCTCTAGTCTTGCTACATTGGCATGTTTGGAGTGACTAGGACAAAATGGACAAGAAATAATCACATGGTGTTGCTTCTTTCAAGTAGCAAAAGATACAGGCGGTTAGGGACAAAAGGTAATCCAGAATAATCAGGTGGTTCCAACAAAATCGGACAATTCATTCTTGGCTGCACTGAAAAGCCATTCAGGTATGAAATCAAGCTGTGCAGCCTTGTTAGAATGTACAACAGATGATCAATGCACGTAAGAAATAACTGTCTTTTTAACAAGGGGTAAACACCGATGATGAATCATGTCATGTACTGAACCCTCTCATCTCCAGTGCCATTCTGGTAAATCTCTGCTTTCATTCTTCCTGATACTTGGTGCCTAGAATTGGACACAATTTTCTAAGTCCGAACCAGTGATTTGTAAAAGTTAAACAATTTTTAGAGAATCATAGAATCCCTACAGTGTGGAAACAGGCCCTTCGGCCCAACAACTCCACACCGACACTCTCCTGAATCAACTTTCTCTATTACTTAGCATCATCTGCAGATTTGAACATCTTACATTGGGGTTCTGGATCCAAGTCATTGTAAATTTAAAAACGCTGCTGACCCCAGCAATCAGTCCTGTAACGTTCCACTCTGTACAGTGCCCCACCTTGAAGTAACTCCTGAAATAAATATCCAATAGTTCTTACCTTTCATCCATACCCAAGCTTTATCCAGGGATCCCTACACCTCTGAGTCTATAGGCGTGAGGCTGGAAAAGCACACCAGGTTAGATGGCATCCGAGGGCAAACTTCCCTGCTCCTCGGATGCTTTCTGACCTGCTGTGCTTTTCTAGCCTCACACCTATAGGCTCTGGCTTCCAGCATTTGGAGTCCTTGTTGTCTCCCTACACCTCTGAGCTTGGCTAAAAGACTTTCATGTGGAACACTGGAAACCTCCTCAGTCATCTGGTTACGTTGCATTGTAGCTCTTTTGCTTTTCACTTGGATCATCACATCCTCAAAAAAAAATCAGGATGCAGAAAATAATAGCTGACAGTGTAGTGCGTAGCAAATTGGCATGGATAGAAGATTGACTAGCTAACAGGAGCAGAGAGTGGGAATAAATGGGTCTGTTTCAGCTTGGCAAGATATAATGAGTGATGGTGCCACAGGGAACAGTGCTGGGTCCTCAACTGTTTATAGTTTATATAAATGACCTGGGTGATGCAATATATGGTTGCCAAATTTGTTGATGTCACAAAGATAGGTAGGAAAGTAAGTTGTGAAGAGGACGTAGGGAGGTTACAGAAGATATATGGATAGGAGTAATTGAGTGGACAAAGGTGTGACAAATTTAAAATAATATGGGAATACTCGAGATTATCCATTTTGGCAGGAAGGATGACAAAAAGCATTGTCTAAATGATGAGAGATTGCAGAGCTCTGAGGTGCAGAAGGATCTGGGTGCTGTTGTGCATGAATCACAAAAGGTCACTGCAGTTACAGCAAGTAGTTAGGAAAGATAATGCCAAGTTATAATTTATTGTAAATGCAATTGAATACAAAAGTAGGGACATTATACAGGGCACTAGCTAGACAGTATCTGGACGACTGTGCACAGTCCTAGTCAGCTTATTGAAGGAAAAAAATGTAAATGTGCTGGAAGTAGTTCAGAGGAGATATACTCGATTAATACCTGCAGTATGGGATTGTTGTATGAAGAAATGTTGGATAAGGTAGGTCACTTGATTGAAACATTATAACCTCCTGAAGGGCCTTGACAGGGGAGATTTGGAGATGTTGTTTTGTCTTATGGAAGAATCTAGAACTAGTGTTACCCATTTAAAACAGATTGGGCAAAATTTGTCCTTTGGTTTGACCGTCTTTGGAGCTCTCTTCCTGAAAAAAGTGGAAGTAGAGTGCTTGAATATTTTTAAGGTAGAAGAGGATAGATTTTTGATCAGCAAGGGGGTGAAAGGTCGTCAGGGGTAGGTGAGAATGTGGATTTGGGGGCGTGATCAGGTCAACCATGATCTTATTGAATACCAGAGCAGGCTTGAAGGGGTTGAATGGCCTACTCCTGCTCCTGATTTGTATTTCTCATCTTCTGAATACATATTAACCAGTATTTTCATATTACAATTGAGAATTGACTAGTAACATAATGTGAATAAACAGCATTGGTGTGTTTTACCAATGCAGAATATATCACCTCCAAAAGGGGGATCTAAGTTACACTGATCCCTACTTTGCTGGTTTTGGGCCAATAGACTGCACTTCCCTGTTTTCTCCCAATCCCAACTCCTATTGCCAGTAGCAGCATCTAGGGTGTCTCAGCTGCTGGATTGTATAGAAAAAGGAGGTATACAAGATGACTTGGACCTGAAGCTGCCATGGACCTGAGCAGAGTCTGTCACAGAGGTTGTGCATGTTGAGCTCCAAACCATGCAACTAGACATGCAGTTCCAGGCCAGAACCCAAGCTGTTCAGTGGATCAGATGAGGATAGCCTGAATGCAGTATTCAAAGCTGTATTTCTGGTTCTGTGAGTTCAAGTTACACATTTCATGGTTCAGTTATTTCTATCTCCCATGTTTCTGAAATTAAAAGTGATTGCTGTATTTGATATTGAGATCCTGGAATAAAATCGCTGTGAAATCTGATGCTGTTTTTTCTTTCACATGAGCAGTCTGAGCCAAGATATTTTACTGTCATGATCTGCTAGTTTCAGCATCTAAAGCAAACTGGCATTTGTACATAATTGATCACAATTTAATTGACAAGGCTGAGTGTTTACCTCGGTTAGAAGCACTGACTGTAAGTGCATCTTGGCTCCAGCAAATCTCTGCCTCTGTGCCATTATAAACTAGTCCAAACACGTGATAGTTGCTAATAAATCCAATTAGGAATTCTGAGAAACTGCTTCACCTAGAGAGTGGTTATAATGTGCTTAAATTATTGACATGAATAGCAAATGTGTACGTAGCTCCAATAATACTCTAGAAACTTGCTATTGTCAAGCATTAGTCAACCTGCTTGATTGGTATCCCATCTGCCATACTAAGCCTTCATTTCCTCTGTCACTGCAACACAGTGGTGTCTGTACATACAAAATATACCACAGCAGCTCACCACTTAACTGCAACTTCCAAACCTGTGGCTTTGACCACCTAAAGGAACAAGGGCTGCAGGAGCAGTAGGAACACTACTGCAAGTTCTCCTCCAAGTCAGACACCATTCTAACCTGGAACTGTACCACTTTCCTTTCACTGTCGTTGAATTAAAACAAAGGACTCCTTCCCTCACAGCACTATGGGTGTACCTATGCCACACTGACTGCAATGGTCCAAGGAAGCAACTGTTCACCACTTTCTGATGGGCAGTAAATGGTGGCCGTGTAAGTGCATCCCATGAATAAACTTTAAAGCATGCATTTGGATTGTACTACTTGTAAGAATGTTTGAAGCAGCTTCAAAGATAACTTTCAAAAGGAATTGAATAAATACATGAAGAGGAATTTTTGCAGGGCTGTGGGGAAAGTGCAGATAAATGGGCCCAATTGGATAGCATATCCAGAAATATAACACAGGCATAATGGACTGACTATCCTATTGTCCTTTTATTCAGAGTTAGCTAGATAAGTCCTTGAGGGGCAGCATTAGAATGATATCTTGAGAAGTTGATAGTAAGAGGAGTATGGGAACGGGTTGCAATCGAACATTAGCACCAACGCTGACTAAATGTCCTGTTTCTGTGCTGCATTGAAACAAAAGCAAAACACTGCAGCGGCTAGAAATCTGAAATAAAACTGAAAATTCGAGAAATACTTTAGTCAGACAACATCTGTGAGGAGAGAAAGAGTGAATGTTTCAGGTGGATGACCTTTCATCAGAACTGGGCAAAGTTAACTGTGTTAGAGGGGTGCCAAACAAGCGATAGGGCAGAATGTTAGGGGAAATCCCTAAAAGGGATGTCTGTGATAGGGTGGGAGACTGTCGAGATTAAATTGCAAAAGGCTGCATGGTGCAGATCAAAGGGAGTGGGTGTGGTCTGGGGATAAAACCAAAAATTGTGTCCAGAAGAGGGGTGACTAGCTGCCATCTGAAAGAAAAATGTAGCACAAAATGCAAAGGAACGAAATAGAGGTTACAGCCTGAAATTGTTAAAGTCCGAAGTGAGTCTGGAGTGTTGTAATATAGCCAGTCAAAAAATATGTAGCTGTTCCTCAGCTTTGTGTTGAGCTTTGTTGGAACGCTATAGCAGACTGGGAGCAGAGAGTGAGCTATGGTGCAGAATTAAAATGATAGATGTTAGGAGTCATTCTTGTGGACTTAACTGAGGTGCTAACGAAGAGGTCACCCAACTTATTTGTGGCCTCTCCAGTTTAGAGGAGACAGTGTATAAACAGCAAGTGCAGTATAACAAATTGAAAGAAGTGCAAATAATCATCTCCTGGAAAAATGGTGGGTGCTTTGGGTAATGAGAAGGAAGTAATCAGTAAGGGAAAGTGCTGTATCTTCTTGCTGTGGGATGGAATGCGATATCACTGATAATCAAGGAATGTCGCAGAGAGAATGGTCTCTTTTGGAATTTTGGGAAGGGAAAATATATTTGGTGTTGGCAACATACTGGAAATGAAGTTTGATCCTTTAACTGCAGAGATTGTTGGAGTGGAAAATGAGGACAACAGGAACTGATCTGGAACGGGGGATGGAGTGAAAGCAGAATTCCTTATAATGGAATTATGTGGCCAGGAGCTTCATCAAGCACAGAATTCCTCAACTGAGGATAAAGGAAGATATTATGGAAGGTTTAATGATAGCAACCTCATAGGAAACATGATTCAAGAAAGTATAATCAAGGTATTCATGGGCTTAGTGAATATTGGTCAATAGCCTATCCCTGGAAGTGGTTACAAAGAATCAAGGAAGAAAGTAGAGGAGTTGGAGGTGGACCATGTGAAGCAAAGATAAAGTTGGAAATTAGAAGCAAAGTTGATGAGGTTTTCCAGTCTGGAGCGTAACTGGGAATGGCACCAATGCAGCCATCATTGTTTCAGACCAAACCTCTTTTGCCTTTACAGTGTCTGACATGTCCCACAAAAAGGCACGTGTGGGTTTCCATATCAACAACTTTTCTTTTTGAACAAAGTATTGAAAGAGAAGTTCTTCAAGATGAGAACATGCCCAATGAGAGAAAGAAGGGTGCTGCATGGAGACTGGTTAGACTTCTGTTCAAGAAAGAACATCCTGGTGGCAGATGGGAATGTACAAGGATATCACTGGTGAAAAAGACATGGTTACAACCAAGAAATTGGAAACTTAAAATGGTGGAGGGTGTCAGAACAATCACTGATGTGTGTGGGAAGAGACTGAAAAAGTTGAAGTAAAAATAGAGTTGAGATCGGAAGAAATCAGAGGGGGCTAGAGCAGACTGGAACAGTGGGTCTATTAGGACAGACATGTTTGGAAAGAAGGTCAATGCATTCAGAGGGTGTAGTTAAGATCACCAGAGGGCATGAGGTCAGTGGCTTGTCTTTCAGTGGTTATGGTCATTGTTCAGAGTCATGTAGGAGGAGGTGTTGGAGAGTCAGCTTCCGCTTGTGGAAGTGGTGTATTTGTAAGGCTAAAAGTGCATAACGGGTTCTTTAAGGTCTGCTGAAAATGAATACAAGAAGACACGTGCTCTTCAATATAAAGCAAATTTATTAGCTTAATCTACTTAAGATATATGCAAACTAATGAGTGAACCTGTTAATTTAAACTACTTTAGACATAATCAAAAGCAAGTCTCACTGCCTTCTGCCCATTAGAGACTACTGGGTGATGGCTGGCGTTCGCAACACTATCTCCGATTCCATGGCGCCAGTCTGTGAACCCCAGTCCAAAGATGCAAGGACCTCTGAGCGGGAAAAATCCCCAGTATTAACTCTTTTTTAAACCTCAAATTGTGTGCTGCATTGCCATCTTTGAGTGCTCCTCCCACATATTCCTTTATGCAAACACAGGTCTAAAAGTGTCTATGTTTTTGCAAGACAATCTCTTCCCAATTCCAGCTGGGATCATTGTAGTTACCTTCCAGCCAAAACAGGCTGTTTTTACACACAGCCTGTTTTTCATGCATTTTCCTTCAATTGCTTCCTGCCATGCCTGATAAATCCTTAACCCTCTGATTTGGAGATTTGTTTAAGCCTAACACTACAGATGAGAAAATGCTTTGTGGTATGCTTTCTACATAACTGTAGTTATTAGAGGTTAACGCCCTTTCAATATTATGTTCATGTTACTGTCACCGCAGGGTGCATCTCTGAGAAATGTGTTGACCAACATTTGTGCTTTATTTTGAAGAGGTGTCAAAAAGATCTGGATGCCCTGACCCAGCACTTCCGTTTATTCAGTGGAAGCTGGAGTTTGAATTGGCCCCTGTCCACGCTTTGTATTACTCCGTGATTGACCAGATTATCATTTGGAAGCTTTGGCACCCGTTTTGCCTCCCTCCTCCTGCCATTCCCCTCCTCCAATCCCATCCATCAAATGAACCAGCTCCCTGGGATACTGCACACTGAGCCAAGACACTCGCCAGTGACCAGTGAGGTGCACAGTGTGGTGTTTGAAGGGTCTGTTTGTGGTCACTATATTTACAGGCGTTTTCTTTTATTTGCAGAGCAAATTCATGGATTACGAAAAGAGGAAGGTAAGAAAGTGTGCAGAGCTGCTGCTCCTTGTCGTTGATCCGATTATGATTTTATTATAAATCTCAATGGATTGATCATTGTTGATTCCAGTATTGACATCAATGCTGATGACTATTTTGGAAAGAAAATTGGATGAATATTTGAAGGGAATAAACTAGCAGGGTTATGGGGTTAGATCAGAGAATGGGACTGACTGCATTTCTCCCAAGAGAGCTGGATTGTCAAATAGCTGCCTCCTGTTCTTTAAATGACTCAGTGCACAAACTCTCTTCCACTCAGTCCCATTTGATTGTATTCCAGTTGTTCAGATACTTGCGTTATTCATGGTGCAATATTCCATTAAGGGAAAATGCTTGCCTTGTTTCAAGCCACTATAGTAACTGAAGAGGTAATGTCACTAGACTGTGCCCCAAGCTAATGCTCTGGGATCACGGGTTCAATCCCACCACGGCAAATGGTGAAATTTGAATTCAAGTTAGAAACTTAAAAAGCATGTCTAATATTGGTTTAGTGCCCACTGTCAAATGTCAGAAGAACCCATCTGGCTCACTGATGCCCTTCAGAGAACGAATCTGCCATCCTTACCTCATCTGGCCTATATATGACTCCAGACCCAGAGCAATATGGTGGACATTGAACTGCCCTCTGAGGTGGTCAATTAATCATAGGATACCTACAGTTTGGAAGCAAATCATTCAGCCCATCGAGTTCACACCAACCCTCCGAAGAGCATTCCACCCAGACCTACCCCTTACCTTATCCCCATAACCCTGCATTTCAATGGCTAATCCATCTGGCCTGCAAGTCACTAGACACTATGGGCAATTTAGCATGGCCAATCCACCCACCTGCACATCTTTGGGCTGTGGAAGGAAACATAGAAGAAAGGAGCAGGAGGAGGCCATTCGGCACTTCGAGCCTGCTCCGCCATTCTCCATGATCATGGCTGATCATCCAGTTCAATAGCCTAATCCTGCTTTCTCCCCATAACCTTTGATCCCATTCGCCCCAGGTGCTATGTCTAGTCGCCTCTTGAATACATTCAATGTTTTTGGCATCAACTACCTCCTGTGGTAATGAATTCCACAGGCTCACCACTCTTTGGGTGAAGAAATGTCTCCTCATCTCTGTCCTAAATCGTCTACCCCAAAACCTCATACTGTGACCCCTGGTTCTGGAACCCATGCAGGGGAGAACTTGCAAACTCCACACAGATAGTCGCCCGAGGGTGGATTTGAACCCAGGTCCCTGGCACTGCGAGGCAGCAGTGCTAACCACTGAACCACCAATGAGCTCAATAGAAATTAGGGATGGGCAACAAATACTGACCTTGCCTGTACTGTCCACATTCCATGTAAGAACATAAAAACAGTTCCATTGGATCAAATCTGTTCTCCCTCACTGCTGTTGTGCAGAATTCTTATTCTCTAAATCTATCCCTGATCCTAATCATGGTATAGAATTCCAGCGGCCAAAAGCTTTTCCCATTCTTATCCCATCGTGCAGAGTTTTAATGTACCGAATTTTTCCAAATTCATGTTGAATATTCTAACACACAATTGTTACACATTCATGTGTTAAAAACTTGTTTTCAGTTTGGTAATTGCTCATTTTAAACATAGGATAATTGAGGGGGTACATAACTTGAAAGGTTGGCAGACAGGCCTGAGATAATTACAGATCAAAGGGCAGCCATATTATGTTGAGGTATTAGAAGTATAACTACAGCAGTTTCTATAACCATCTCTTGAGGAGGTGGTCAATCTGTGAGAGCATTTAACTGAGTCTTGTGATTTACATTGATGTAGGAAAGGTTTTGAAGGCAGCAGGTAAACGGCGTGGTTTCAAAGTATCCGTATACTTTTCAGATCAAAAGATGTGTTTTAAGTTAAATGTAGTTGTTTTACATTTCTATCTGCAAACAAACCCAGTGGGTCATGTTGCATGTAGCTGTGTTTTTTTAAAATTCATTCATGAGACATAGGTGTCGCTGGCTGGGCCTGCATTTATCATTGCTTCGAATTTCCACCCTACCCTTTCCTCCACATGGTCCACCTCCAACTCCTCTGCTTTCTTCTTTGGTTCTTTGTAATCACTTCTAAGGTAGTCAAGAGTTAACCTCATTACTGTGGATCTGGAGTCATATGTAAGTGAGACCAAATAAGAATTGTGATTTCCTTCCAAAAAAGGCGTTAGTGAACCAAATAGGCTTTTCCAACAATTAGCAATCCTCATTAGACCTGGCAACTTTGAAATTCTTAGAAACTTGGAATTTTCCTCTGAACAGAGGGTCTGCTTTCGTCTATACATCATGCCTCTTTGAAACAGTCCTGGTCTTTGTTCTTCTGTCCACACTTTCTGCTAGACTCTCTCCCATTTCAAACTGACTAGTCCCAGCAGACTGCCAGAGCACTTCCTCCTGGTCCCAGTCAGTATCAGGTTCCAGCAGCCTCTGAGCATATACCCATCCAATTACTGGCCATTCCCAGCAGACTTCCAGCACATTTTTGCCCTCCTCACCCCAATCACTGGCCATTGTCAGCACATTTCTCATCAGTCACTGGCCATTCCCAACAGTCTCCCAGCACATTTCCCTCAGTCATTAGCCATTCCCAGCAGCCTCCAGCACACACACACCCAGTCACTGGCCATTCCCAGCAGTGTTCCAGCACATTTCCCTCAGTCACTGGCCATTCCCAACAGTCTCCAGCACACACCCACCCAGTCGCTGGCCAGTGTGAACCTGTCAGGGTGCCCTGATTTAGAAGAATTGCCCAGCTAGATGGCACATGGTTTGATGTTGACCATTTGATTTGGGGCTAGTCTATAGACATGAACTGTGCTGTTTGGATAATTGCCTCCTTGCGGGTATTGTTTCCTTTCTATGGTATTGGGTTTCCTGACGGAAATTTGCCGGAAGATTTGCTCCCCTGAACTATTGCACAGTCACAAGTCACGCAGAAACACTATTCCAGTAAGGGTTGTGATAACTGTGTTAGTTGGAATAAGGAATGACAGGTCACCTGCACACATTTTCCAGTAGGGATGACTGAAAAGCACTGGGGCTAGAGAGGAAGCCCTGGTTGATTTCCTTACTCCTCTGTCTCCCCTGTGCCTTCTAACACGCTGTGGCCATTTCTGCCAGCCTATTGCAGTGCTTCATTTGAATCCACAATGAACCTGGACCCTTCTTGGATTCTGCAGCTCAGCCCATCAAAGCTGGGTACAAGTTGTCACCACACCATAGTGGGTGCTAACTGTGACGTGCCCATCACTGTGGGTGTGGAATCAGTGCTACAGTGACACCACGTAGCCAGGTAGCTCTGACATATAGTTTAAAGTGCTGTGTCTCGTGCCTTCAGGAACAGAAGCAGCAGGCAAAGCTGGATTTTGAGCGGCGGCTGAATGAGGAACAGCGGGAGCGGACACAGCTCATCCTGAGGAACAACAGTCACAAGGAGCAAGTCCTGATGTCAGTGAAGCAGGTAACCAGGGGTGAATAGACTAGGTGAAAGATGGTGGACAGGGTCCATACCAGTGTGAAACAATGTATAACTCGGGGGGGCCGTTTCTAGGTTGGTGCAGGCCCCTGTTGATTGATGCTGGTCAATATCACTTGTTACAGAATTTCAGAAGGAGGCTATTTGGCCCATTGTGTCTGTACTGACTCTTCAACTGATCATGATTTAGAGAAACAATGTCCTCTTGCGTGCCTTGATTTGAACCTACGTCTGCATTTCCAGGCAGTGCATTCTCATTTGTTTGGAAAAGGTTTTTTTTCCCTCACGTCACACTTGCTTCTTTTGCAAATCACTTTAAATCTGTGCCCTCTTGTTCTTGATCCTTTTAGAAATGGGAATGGTTTCATCTTGTCACTCAACCTAGCCCCCACATGATTTTGAAAATTTCAAACAGATCTAACATCTTACCTTCCAGTTCTGGGGACAGACAGAACTGGCCTCTTCCCAGTTTACCTCACACTAGTTACTCCTTACCCCATGGTTCTTGGTGTGTGGCATATCTCTGAATATTACTTGTTTGTGATTGGTTTTCTGTATCCCTTTGTCGCTTTTCAGCACCATTGGTAGGTTAGGGGGTGGGGGGCGTGGCTACATGTTAAGACAGTTGTCAGTGGCATCTCGCTTTGTCCCTCGCGCTGGCTAAATAACATGATCTTGACTTAAATTTGGCCATTATAAATTGAAAACAGTTTTCATACTTTTCAGGGATGAATTGTACAGTGCTATAAGAGACCCTTCTGCCCATTATATCAGCTCCTTGAAAGAGTTATCTACTTAACACTGTTGCCCTGCCTCTGTTCTCATTGCCGGTATTGTTCCTGTTCCATTCTTAAAATTATTGATGAATCTGCTTCCACCATACTTTGCAGACAGTGCATTCCTGATCATGTTACTCACAATGTTTAAAAAAAAAGTCTTTCTTCTGGTTGTTTTGCCAATTATCTTAAATCTGTGTCCCCTGGCCACTTGCCCTCCTGAGCATCTTGATTTGAAGTAACTTAGGTCAGGAAATTAATGTATGGATGGTAATGTTCAAAAATCGCAAAGGAGATACGAAATATTTTTGGGGGATGTCTTTTAGTGCAGTGAATACTATCCAAGAACTGCTAGGTCAAGGAAGATGTATCCATAACCTGGTCAAACTGGCATCAACCTCGAACTCCTTCCCACCCTCACCAATGGCAGACCAAAAGGACAGGAGAGATCCCTGGTTAGCAATCTGAACAAGGTAGTGAGAAACCACTGTATACTTTACTAAGCATAACCATGGGCTCCTACTGAGGTCCACACTCCCCTTTCGGAGTATGGTAACCAAAAAGCTGAGCAGAGAGATTTATTGGGGAGTTGGTTGAGAGAGGATTGTTGGCTGGGACTGTGGACAGCTCCCTGCTCGGTAGGTAGTACTGCAGGATCCAACTGTGGAAAATCAACGATTAACACATGTTGAAGGTTTGGTTATTTTTCACAGTTCCCCTGGGCAGCATCGGGCACAGGGCAGTCTGAACCTCCCAGGAGCTGATGGCTGAGTTTTATTGAAAGGTGAGCAGCTTCACTGCAATGCACTTAAAAAATGTGACTGACAAAACAGTTCAGGATTCTCATCCCAGGGAGGGATTCTGGTGTTGGAACCTGCTTCAGCCCCCACCTTCTTAGCTGGAATAACTCTACCTCCTCTGCCACTTGCCATTTGCTGTAACTTTACTCCCAGGTTTATTAGCACCCTTTCTTGGTTTCTGCTCGCCATGCCTTGTCTTATTCACTACTTCAGTGGGGACAACTTGCCGTCCCTTTCCCACGTCTTTAAGTTTCATTTTGTGCCTGACCCTCATCGTGTTACCGCAGGAGCAGGGAAGGCTGGATCAGGGTCTCCGAGACCAGCAGCGCCATCTGGAGGTGGAGCGCCAGCGACTGCAGGAGGAGTTAAAACGGGGAGAACACGGAGCGACGAACCTCATCCGCACTTTGCTGGAGGACAGTGAGAGGTGAGTGGATGGCAACTAGGACTACAAGTTACCTGGTTTGACTTGCATGATCTTACTGACACAGCATCCATAGTGTACCTGCTTCATCAAAGGCTGCTGTCCTTCATCCTGTGAGAGTACTATCCCGTTAGAGACTGACTGACTCAGGACATATCCTGATCCGTGTCTGTCAATATCACACATGATTCAGACTGAGACAGTGTGATCATACATAGTATCAAATTCTAGAAGCATTAATGTGAGTGTGGGGCACTGGGGCCAGGGGAGGTCATGGAGACTAGGGTGAATCAGAAGTGATGGGACGTTTACTTTTTTTACTTCCTACAAGTCGTCCGCCAGCTCCTGCAAGAAGAAAATCAAATTAAAGTTTGGTCCTGACAAAAGCTCCTCCTGGTGAGACCACCAACTTCAAATGTCAACTATTCTCCCTCTCCCTTCATGTGCCAATGTGAAGTTGTCAAGAGGTTTTCAAAAATAAAAGTTAACTTTCATCTTTTCTTTCCCCAGCCCTGCATTGTCTTTGGTGCTGTGAGAGCTGCCCTGTTTCTGCTCTTTGATACTGTGCTTTGGGATCTATTATATCCATCTGAGAGGGTAGAGCAGGCCTCGGCTGAAAGTTGGCACTTCTGACAGTGTAGCACTCCTGAAGTGAGCATCCCTGAATTTAATTGGGTCAATGTCGGTGGCTTTAGCTGCCCTGGGCATGGAGCTCCGGAATTCTCTCCCTCAGCCTCTCAGCTCTTCAATTTTGCTTTCCTCTCTTAAAATGCTCCTTGAAATCTTTTGGTCACCTGCTATAAAACCTGCTGTATCAAATTTTGCTTTATAACACTTCTGTGAAGTACTGAAGTGAACGACAAGTGGCTTTACAAACATCAAACATTCATGGTGTGGACTAATATGATATTGCCATAAACGTTTTTTAGTACCAAGCGATAGAAGAAATCAGTACAGGTGACCAAATGCTTGATAGAAGGGTTTCATGAAACAGGAGAGTGAGAGAAATGGAGAGTTTAGGAAGGGAATGCTGGAAGTAAGAGCCTGTTGAGAGGCTAGGCAACTAAAAGCCATGGTTAAGTGATCAAAATTGTAATTATTAGAGCTAGAGGAATGCAGAACCATTGAAGGCACGGATGTGGTTATGGGGCGGAGTGAGGCCATTGGAGGGAATTCAAAAGTTTGAAGTTTGTAAAATGGAGACATTATCTGATTGAGAGCCAGTAAAAGGCAGTCCGAATGGTTTGTACTTGAGTTTGGAAACTCGCTTCTTGGTGAAATGTGACACAGAGATTTCTGACGACATTGCTCATTGTAAGGCAGTTGTCAGAGATGGAGCTGATGGACTAGTGACTTCATTTCTGGCAGTGATCAAAGACAGTGGCTTCTCGGGAGAGGAACTTGAACCCACAAACATCTGACTCCGTGGCATCTGTGCCGCGGCAGAGCCTCAAGGCGGACAGTACAACAGCCCCTTTCTGACTGAGCTTCTTCTGTGTGAACATAACTGGTCATTTAATCACTCAGTGACCTCCAAAAGGACAGTGCAGAATAGCAAAAGTTCAACCACTGCAGGTCTCACTGAGTGGCCTGGGCTTGATGTCTGACCCCAGTCCTACCTGAACTGTTAGGCCAACATGTTTCAACAGCACAATGGCTCAGTGGTTAGCACTGCTGCCTCACAGCACCAGGGACCCAAGTTCAATTCCAGCCTTGGGCGACTGTCTGTGTGGAGTTTGCACGTTCTCCCTGTGTCTGTGTGGGTTTCCTCCGGTTTCCTCCCACAGTCCAAAGATGTGCAGGTTAGGTGGATTGGCCATGCTAAATTGCCCATGGTGTCCAGGGATGTGCACGCTAGATGGGTTAGCCATGGGAAATGCCACAGGAATAGGGTGGGGCGGTGGGTCTGGATGGGATGCTGTTCGGAGGGTTGCTGTTGATTCGATGGACCAATTGGCTTGCTTCCACACAGTAGAAATTCTATGATTCTATGTTGCCTTCCACCAAGGAGAGATTTTGTTTTAATTTGAAGGGCAGGATTGCTGGCTTTCCTTATCATGTGAAAAGGTATTTTTTAAACCAATTACTTCTCTTTCAGAAGGAAGCAAAACTCGATGTTGCTGGAATCACTGGAAAAAGAGAGGTAAGAATTGCAATGGGGACACACGAAAGTCTGGGATTCAAACCTATCACTGTCTCAAAGTGTAGAGAGGTAAAACCATTACAATAACCAATCACATTTTGGTTCTCCTAAATAAAACCAGAAAATGCTGGAGGAACCCTGCAGATAAAGAAAACATATCAGGCTCACTGTTAATTCTGTGTCTCCCCCCACAGTTACTGCCAAGTCTGCCGAGTTTCTCCAGCATTTTCTGGTTTTATTGCAGATTTCCAGCATCCTCAGTATTTTGCTACTGATATTAATCCAAAGAACAAAACTCTACAGCACCGGCACAGGCCCTTTGGCCTACCAAGCCAGCACCAATTACTAATCTTATTTAGACCCAATACTTATTGCCCATGCTTGGTTTCTATCCCTGTGTTCGCCTCCCGTTCGTGTGTCTACCATGCCACACCTTAAACATTGCTAACGCGCCTGCTTCCATCACCTCCACTGGCAGTGCATTCCAGGTACCCACCACCCTCTGTGTGGAAAAAGTTTCCCCCCTCACCTTGAACCTGTGCCCTCCTGTAGTTGACCTTTCCACCCTAAGAAAAAGCCTCTGACTATCCACCCTATCTATGCCTCTCATAATTGTGTAGACCTGTGTCAGGTCACCCCTCAGCCTCCAACTTTCCAGTGAAAACAATACAAATTTATCCAACTTCTCCTCATAAATCAAATCCTCCAGACCAGGCAACATCCTGGTAAACCTTGTCTGCATCCTCTCCACTGCATCCACATCCTTCTGGTAGTGTGGTGACTGGTATTGCACATAATATTCCAAATGTAGCCTCACTAAAGTTTTACACAGCTGTAACATAACTTACCAACGTTTATATTCGATGCCCTGGCCGATGGAGGCAAGTGTGCTGTATGCCTTCTTGATCACCATATCCACCCTTATTTTCACTTTCAGGGATCTATGGACCTGTACACCTAGATCCCTCCGTATGTTAATGCTCCTAAGGGTTCTGCCTATTGTATAAATTGCACCTGGATTTGATCTTCCAAGAATGCATCCAGCTCCTTCACGCTGTCACTCAGTAACCCCTCTCCCCAGCACACTGTGTTACTGACTGTAGCTCTACTGATGTTAATCCATCTCCCTCACATTGTCACTCAGTAAGCCCTCTCCAGCCTCCCCCAGTGCCCTGTGCTATCTTCTTTGTAGCTGGAACCCTGTTACTGAGCATTGTTAATCCAGTCCATTAGCGTTAGACACTAAAACAGAGATTGCTGGAAAAGTTCAGCAGGTCTGGCAGCATCTGTGAAAAGAAATCAGAGTTAACATTTCGGATCTGGTGACCCTTTCTCAGAACACTACATTGGCCAAGTGGAACAGCTTGTCCAAACCTGTGACAGTTTTTGCTCCCAACAGTCAAGTCCGTTTATGGTGTGGGAACCAAAAGGAGAAGTCAGTTGCTCCTTGATATTCAGAGAGGTGCTGGTGTGGTACTTTCAGAGGCCTGGGATAATGCTGTGGACATCAGTGTTCAAATCCCCCATGGCATATGGTGAAATTTGTACTTTTGTTTTATTCGTTCATGGGATGAGGGCATCACTGGCTGGGCCAAAATTTATTGCCCACCCCAGAGGGCAGTCAAGGGTCAACTAAAGAGCTGCGGGTCTGGAGTCACATGTAGATGAGACCAGGTAAGGAGGGCACTTTCCTTCCCTAAAGGACATTTTTTTAAAAAAGCGAATTTAATGGCAACCATTTAGCCATTAAAAGCCTGTCTGATTCACTAATGTTGTTTGGAGGTGGAAATCTGCCGTGCTCACCTGGTATGGTTTACATATGACCCTGAATCTATAGCAATTACTCTGAACTGCACTGGTGGAAATGGCCTCGCAAGGTAATCAGTTCAAAGGCAATTAGGGACAGGCAACAAATGCTGGCCTTGCCAATGACACTCACCTTTAAGAATAACCAAAAAAATCAGGGAGCATTGTTAATGGGGTTTTAACAACTCTGAGCCTGTCAGCTGGCACTGTTGGTCATTATAGTGCTGTCAATCTTTCCACAGGCTGAGGATGGACCAGCTGATGGCCATTTCACAGGAGGAGAAGGAGAGGCTGCGAAAGAGAGAAGTGGCAGGTCAGCAATATGCCCTTTAACCTTTCTTCATTCATTTGGATTCTTGAATTAGGTGTGTTTTGAAATCCCGTTGCTTGACATGAACCTGATATTCCTTGTGATGCACACAGTTGTGACTCCAGCTGGCAGTCGTGGGGGCACAGCACAAGCGGGTACCTCACCCTATTAGTACCAGGGAGGGGCGTTATTGCTGAAACCAACTAAAGGCTTGCTCATGTCTGAGGCAGAGGGTAATGGATTGTTGGAGAATTGAGAGTCTAACCCTGGCTAACACTCCAAAGCTGTACTGAGGCAGTACTGCACTCTCTGGTGAGACACTAACCCGAGGCCCAATTTGCCCCTTTGTGTGGATGTAAAAGGTGGAGGGGAGTTCTTCTCCGTGATCACCTCCACCTCCCTGGGTGCTCTGGCCAATATTGATCCCTCAAACAGCATTGCTGTAAAATCAATTACCTGAGCATTATCACATTACTATTTGTGAAAGTTTGCCGTGCACAAATTGCAGCAGTATTTCCTACATTACAGTACTGACTGCAGTTCTAAGTACTGCATTGGCGTAAAACACTTTAAAGAGGGTAACGATGAGTTTATACTGCTTCCCACAACTTCGGTGTGTTCCAAAGTGACTTACGGGCAACAAAGTACTCTACTGAATTATTGTCATCTGGGTTAATGGTACTTTTGGCAGAGCAGCATTCCCTCAGCTTAGACTTTGTGACCAAGTTTCAGGAGTGAGATTTGAACCCATAACATTCCAACTCAGAGACGAGTATGACCAACTGAAAGTAATTGGTTTTGATTGCGAGTCTTCCAATTGAATTGTATTGAGAGCTGGCGCTCCCAACTGAATGTCTTCAGGAGATGAATGCTGAGTGTCGGGGGGCGGGGAGGCAGGAGAGGCTGCATGTGTTCTTAATATAAATTTTTTTTCTATCTGAACTAGATTGGTCCTCGATGGTCTTTTTATACTAAATGGTGAACCTTGTTCATTCAGCCAGGAGTGCAGTCTTATGGCGAGTGCTGCGGAGGTCTGACCATTTCCACAGAGAACCCCAACAGTGACACTGCATGGCACGGGGGGTAGAGGCGAGTGACAATGTCACTGGGTTAGTCATCCAGGAGTCTGGGCTAATGCTCTTGAGACACAGTTTCAGATCCTGCTGTAACAGCTAATGGGATTTAAATTCTCTGGATAAATGTGGAATATAAAACTATTCTCCGTGATGGTGACCATAAAAACCATTGTCTAGTCACGATGCTGGGTAGAAGATGCCTGTGGCAAAATCTCTGCGGGCAGTCTGCCCTGCCATCGTTGTTGTGCTTGACAGCTGCATGTTCTCTGCTGCCCAGTGCTTCACTGACCCCAGTCAGCCCTGTGCATACTCACTCATTCACTTAGTACCCAGGTCTTCAAATCCCTCCATCACCTCAGCCTCGCTGTTTGTGGCCTTTGGCCTACAAGTTCCAGTTTCCTGCATTCCTCCAACTCTGCCTTATTATACCTGTCCCACTTGCTTCACCTCTCCATGGGCTGCTGTGCCTTCAGCTGTCTAGGTCCTAAGGTCTGGAATTTCCTCTCTGAGCCTTTCTATCCCTTTCTCCTCCTCCAAGACACTACTTCAAACCAACCTCTTTGACCTGTCCAAATAATTACCTTTTGAGGTTATGTGTCAGCTGTCATTGGCCTGCACTCCTGTGAGAGGACTTGGAATGTTTTCCTACTTTAATGACTTTGTGTAAAGCTCTAGCTCCCCTTTCTCTCCTGGCGTCTTGCAGCTGCGATGCAGGAAATGCTGTCGGAGAGCTCGATGAACAAGATCCTGCAGATGGTTTATGAGACGAGGCGGCGTCAGCTGGTGGACGAGGCCAGTTCGAGGTACAGAATAACCAGCAACGACCTGGGGTGATGAAGGGTGGGCCACACGGGTACTAACCCGATAGAGACATTTTGTTTTTAAGTTGATAATTTGATCCTAAATATTTAAACAGCCTGCAAATCAGATCATGATGAGCATTTTAAAAGGACTGGCACAATATCCTCCAAGAGGTGCAGAGCTAACATCAGGAGGCAAAGGCTTAGTGGTATCATCATGCTCAGCTAATGTTCTGGGAACCTGGGTTCAAATCCCACCAAGGCAGGTGGTGGAATTTGAATTCAATTTTTAAAAAAATCTGGCATTTAGATTCTAATGATGACCATGAAACCACAGTTGATTGTCGGAAAAACCCATCTGGTTCACTAATGTCCTTTTTATGGAAGGAAACTGCTATTCTTATGTGGTCTGGCCTACATGTGACTCCAGACCCACAGCAATGTGGTTGACTCTTAACTGCCCTCGTGTGCAGTTAGGGATGGGCAATAAATGCTGGCCCAGCCAGAGGCGCCGCCATCCCATGAGTGAATTAAAACAAAAAGTGAATCATTATTAGAGGCTACACTGGCAACTGTAACTTAATTGAGTGGCGATATGGAACAGGAAGAGCCCAGTTTGGTCACTGCTGGAGGAAACCCAGAACAATGGAACCTAACCTTCGGATACTCGGAGGCTTCTAAGTGTTTTGTATGTGATGTTGTTTGCAATGAATTCTGTTCTGTTTTACAGCATGGCTGAAATGGATGGTAAACTCCAGCAGATTCATGCCTGGCAGCAGCTGGACCAAAACAAGACCATTTCACAGATCCTCTCGGAGGTGAGTCTGAGTGTGTCATTGAGCTGTCGTCTCTCACTGTTGTGAGAAACCCTTGCACCAAGACAGTCGAAAAGGAGAAAGTTTGGAGTGCACATCTATCAATGGAAGGAGGGTGAATGGTTCATTGAACTGGGAGAAATTCAAAATGTCAAACGTTTAAGTAAATGGGAGAGGCTGGAAAGAGAACGAAAGTGAAGGTCTATGACCAGAGAGATTACATGACAAAAGGTTTGGTGATATACAGTTAAAAAGGAAGTAGTAATGGGACAAGAACAGAAACGAAAGATGTGCCTTGGGTGCAAATGGGAGAATGCTGAACAGTTGCTGTTCCAGAGGCAAAACACACAGTAAGAACAAGTTAAAAGCAAAGACGAAAACAGAAATTGCTGGAAAAGCTCAGCAGGTCTGGCAGCATCCTGCACACCCCCACTTCGCTCCCGCGGCTGTACGCTGGACAGAGCGAGTGTTGCAGTGAGTCCCACTGTCTGTGAGACTCAGGAAAAGGAGAAAATTGCCTGTGATTCCAGCTTCAGGTCACTACCCAATGACTTCTGATGTTTGTGAGGCTGTCGTTGGGAAGTGCACCGCGATGAATTCTGTTTGATGTTCCGGTGGGCCACCTCAGGATGTGGATCAGGATGCTATACCAATGCAAGTTTTAGTTGTAGTCACACAGCCAGCTCCCCGGTCAGTTCATTGACAAATAAGAAGCTTTGAGCAGGGCATCAGAGGTGGCCAGGACTTGTGGGACTAACAGTTGGAGAGAGAGAAAGGTTTAGGTGTTGACCATGTTTAGAATTGACAGCCAGGAGTCCAACATTATCAATGGCAAAGCTTACATGGTTTAGTGGAATTAGGTGCAACTCCTGTTAGAGTGCATTAAGGCCTGAAATTGTGTTCTAATTGTTCCAAGATGGAGTTTCTGTTGATTAACTAGGAGAAATTTCCAGCCAGAAAGTGCTTAGAATATGGAGCTTATTAGCACAAGGACTAGCATTGGTCCATGTAACAGGAGATTGGATAGGATGGAGAGAAGCTGCTGTGGAGCTGGCATGGCGGTGCTGGACCGAATGGCCTATTTTTGTGCTGTAAGTTTCTAAATGATTCTGTGCTTTCAGGCGGAGATGCAGAAGGTGGCATTTGAGGCACTTCAAATGAAGAAGGACAGCAAGCACAGCCGCATCAGAGACCAGGTGAGAACAGGCAAACAGCTACAGGCGAAGATGCTTCAGGCAGTGCTCCAAGTGACTGGAACTCAGTCACTCCCTGAACAGGGACTCTCAGTGTTTGTTTTTGTCCGTGCAGTGGTTGGTAAGGGATGCGAGAGCAAGCAGGAATTCGGTTTCAGTGATAGTCCTCTGCATGCAGTAGATTTCTCACCCCGGAAGACTGCAGCTGTCCACACACCCTGTGCTGAGCCTCTCACAGCATCTACAACATGTCAGTATCATCAGACGGTCAGCACATCAGCTAGCCTCGTCACTTGTGACCCTTCAACACCATTGCAGACTTTTGCTCAACTTCTTGTCTCCTAGTTTTCTGTTTCTTTCTAGCTCTTGCTTTCAATTCCTTGCACTCCTGTTATCTCAGTTTTTAAGCCTGTTATTTTTTGTATCTCTCATATTCCCACCCTCTTGGTTTCTTCCTCCTTCCATCCCTCCAACCCCTATGCCCATCTGTGTGCCCCTCTCTCCCACACCCTCTGCGTGTGCCCCCCTCTCCCCCCCCCCCCCGCGTGTGCCCCTCTCTACGCCCCCCCCGCGTGTGGCCCTCTCTCATCCCCCGAGTGTACCCCTCTCTCATCCCCCGCGGGTGCCACTCTCTGCCCCTCTCTCCCCCACATCTGCGCATGCCCCTCTCTTTCCCTCCACCCCCTGCATGTCCTCAGTCCCACTCTGTCAGCGCACACACTCCCGAGCTCCTGCTCCCTCCACGCATGCACGCAGCTGGCCCCAACGCATGCACGACCACTCACCCCATTGCCCTCCGTGGGCACGTGACCGCTCGTAACAACCCTTTCCGCTGGTGTGACTCCCACCCTCGCTCTCGCATGCAACCACCCCTCTTGCTCCCTCTGCGTTCACAACCCCTCCAGCTCTCGCTCACTCTCGTCTCCGCACCAGCACCCTCACGCTCACTGTCTCTCCCTCCCTGTACCCGCCTGCGCCCCGTCCTCAACCTTGCGTTTCCCACCCCCTCCCCCCACCACCGAGTCTGTGCCTCTCTCTGTCTCTTACCCACCCCCCACCCCCCCCCCCTGTCTTGGTGTCTGCACCCTCTCTCTGTCTCCCTGTGTGCTCCATCTCTGTCTCTCCCTCACCCCTCTCTCCGTGTGCACCCCCCACCTCTCCGTGTGTGTCCCCCTCTCTGTGTGCGCTCACCTCCCTCTCTCTGTCCATGTGCGCCTTCCTCCCTCTCTCTCTCTTTCTCAGTGTGCGTCCTCCTCCCTCTCTCTCTCCATGTGCGTCCTCCTCCCTCTCTCTCTCCGCGTGCGCTCCCCCCCCCTCTGTCTCTGTGTACGCCCCTCTCTCTCTCTGTCTCTCCATGTGCCTACCCCCCCTCCCTCTCCTCATGTGTGCCCCTGTCTTCCAATCATGGTCTGTATCTAGTTTCCTGTTTGTGTGTATTTCTCTCCCCCACCATGCTGGTGTGTCTAGCCTTCCCTGTTCCACTCCCTTTGTGTCTGTGTGTCTCTCTGTCCCCCTCGCCCTGTCTCTGCCGCTGTGAGAGGTCAATATTTTGTCCCCTCCCCACCCCAGTCTCATTGTCACTCCCTCGATATACTCTCTCCCTCTTTATTTCTGTCTGTTGTGTGCTGTCTTTTTGTGATTTCTGTCTCTTCGGATGTGTTCCCATGATCTTTGCCTGCTCTCTTGCCCTTACTCCGTCTTGCCCTCTCTTTCTCTCTCCTCCTCATCTCTTTTCTCTCTCCTTCTCCTCATCTCTCTCTCCTCTCTCTCTCTCTGTTTAGTTTTATGCAAATGCACATCAGTCTGTTATTGACTGTAGCTGGAGCTGGGGGGCTGCTGCTATGTTGTTTTCTTTCCCCCATTTGATTTCCTGTTTATCAGGGATGCTGCCCTCAGCCTGCTGCTTCACATTTGAGAAAACAATTAAAGTATTGAGACTCAAAGTTTATTCCACGTGCTTTACAATTCAACTAAATTGCACTGCTATTAATTATATTGATAAAATGCAGGTAGTGTTTGAAAGACACATGCAAGGATCGATTCATATTTGAAGGCAGCATTCCAATACTTAACAGGTTCTTAAATCTAAGGTTTTGTAGTCATGTGTACTATACTCTGATTATTATTGACCTCTGTCTATATTACCTACATGATCAAGGTACTGGTACAGCCTCTATCCCCAGCTCCACCATAGGAAGGCACTTGTTTGTAGACTGCTGTTTTCATGAATCTTTCAATTACCCCAAAACTTTTGAGGCCGCATCACCATTGTTATGTAGATGAGTAATTATTTTATACACAGTATAGTTCCATAAACAGTAATAACACATTAACCTGGGTGTTTCTTTGCTGCAGCATGTTAGACAGGACATTGAAAGGATTCCCAGCTCCTCTTTCAATAATGCTGTGGGATCAATAAAGGGCAATTCTGCAACACAGTTGAGTATTCAAACAGTGCTCATTTCGGAGTTTGTGCTTGTTCTCTGGCTCAGTGTTTGGAGTCAGAAAACTATCTCCATTAAGGTTCAGCCAAATGAGGAAACCGAACCCTCTGAATAACTATGACAGTGCAGCATTCCTGCCAGCCTGGTTAATGTCATGACACTGGAGTAGAACTTAAACCCATGACCTTTTTATTGTCGGGTATAGGTTCTACACCCCCAACCAAACTGACACTCATCCTGCTTTGATGAGAATATTGTGATTAGAGGGTCATCGATGGGAGCCGCTTGACAAATATAATTATAAATGATCCTTGATAAGCCAATGTTTCAACCGATTTGCTTAAATGGTGCAGACTGGCTCATTATCTTGAGCTGTTCTGGGTTGACACTGTTTCCAGCAGGTAAAGTGGAATCAGCCTGTGTAGCAGTAAGTTATGAAAAGCTTTCCTGTCTTCCAAAGATCTATTTTCTGCTTCAATTCAGTTTAAGCAGTAAAGGCTTACTTTTATAGGCAGTGCCTTTAATTTAGAGCAAGCATCTCAAGGTGAGTATTTCAGAAGGGGGATCCTGATGGAGCAATGCAGGACCAATGGACCAGTGTCAGACATATGCAGGATTATCTGTGTAATGCAGGTATGATAGGGCCAGAGGAGATGGGAAGGGGTGTGGTCATGAAGGGGATAAGCACACACAATGAAAATGCTGCAAGGTGCAGGGCTGGATGAACACAGCAGGCCAAGCAGCATCATAGG